TGGCGGGTGAGACCCCGGGGCACGGCGGGAGAGACCCCCCAGGGGGGTGGGAGGGGTCGGGAGGGGTGGTTTGGGGGTGAGGATGCACTTGGGGTGGGGTCAGATAAGGCTGCACCCGTTGGGTGTGAGACCAATGGGGTTGGGGGAACAGGTGTGTGTTGGGGGGAGGTGTGGTCATGGGAGGCTCCACCCACGTGGGGGTGTGGTCATGGGAGGCTCCACCCACACGGGAGGTGTGGTCATATGATGATCCACCCATATGGGGGTGTGGTCATATGAGGATCCACCCACGGGGGGGTGTGGTCACACAGGGGTGTGGTCAGTGAGGGCCCCACCCATGCACTGTGAGCCAATGAGGTCCCGCTGCTGGGGTTTGGGCTGATGAAGCTCCACCCCAGGGGGTGGGGTTTGGGCAAAGAGGGGGGGTTGTTGGGGGGGTGGTCACACGAGGCTCCACCCACAGGGAGGGGGGCGTGGTCGCAGCAGGTGAGCTCCCTGACCCCTCCTCCAGGGGCACATCAGGGATGGGGGGGATCCCCAGGGTCTGTTCCCCTGTGACCCCCCCGTGGCCCCCCCCCCAGCCTCGGAGAAGGTGGAGGCCCTGCCGGAGCAGCCCCCCCCGGAGCCCCGTGCCCGTTTCCGGGTGCGCCAGGACCTGGCGTCGCTGCCGGCCGAGCTCGTCACCCAGATCGGGAACCGCTGCCACCCCAAGCTCTACGACGAGGGGGACCCCGCTGAGAAGCTGGAGCTCATCACCGGTACGGGGGGGGAAAGAGGGGTCCCCGGGGGGGGTTCAGGGGCTCCCCCCCGGCCCCGCTGACCCCCCCACGTGCCCCCTCCCCAGGCACCAACGTGTTCATCACGCGGGCGCAGCTCATGAACTGCCACGTCAGCGCGGGCACGAGGCACAAGGTGCTGCTGCGCCGCCTCCTCGCCTCCTTCTTCGACCGGTGAGCGGCTCCGGGGGGTCCCCCACCCCCCAATTAGGGTGCTGGAGGGTTTGGGGAGGGGGTTTACAGCGGTTGTACCCCCCCCCCTCCCCCCCAGGAACACGCTGGCCAACAGCTGCGGGACCGGGATCCGCTCGTCCAGCAACGACCCCAGTCGGAAACCGCTGGACAGTCGGGTGCTGCACGCGGTGAAGTGTGAGTGGGGGGCTCCTGGGGGGGCTCCCCAAGGGGCTGGGTGGGTTTGGGGGGCACTGAGAACACCCTGAGAATGAGGGGGGCACGTGGGACCTGAGAGGAATCAGGGGGACACAGGGAGCACCTTGGGAATTGGGGGGGTCAGGGGGACACAGGGAGCACCTTGGGAATTGGGGGGGTCAGGGGG